CTGGATTATGCAAAGGAATTTTTACAATAGGAGAGCAAAGATAGATCAGTAAATTAATTTAATTTGTGTGATATAAGATTCTTTTTTTTGATATTTCTGTTTTCGCTGACTATTAAAATTAATACTGTTCGCCATGGGTTCATATCACCAGCGGTCATTTAATGATAGATTTACTCCTATGAAAGTACAAGCTCGAATCGTAATTATGATTTCTTAGCATTGACCGAACTCATGTGCCACTTATTTTCTTGCGCCCTGAAAGTAAAAAAAAATTGGAAATCATTTATCTTTCAATTTATCTGTGAATATTTTAAGATATGTATGAAATAAATTATGGATAAAATTTCGATTTTAATAAAAAATTCAAATGTAAATAGTAATAATTTACATTTGAAAAAAAAAGTAAAATTCGTTTGGAATCAAATTTGATGATTTAAAATTAAATGGTCATTTAAATCATAAAATGTTATATGTAGATTTGTGTGGATATCAGTGGAGTTATATTCGCTCTAAATACAATAGTATAGTATATAGAACCATTATACATAGAATCATTTGAACAATTAATGAATAATATATTATAGCCAGAAAATTAAAAATTACTGGCTTTATTATCGTATAGAAATAAGTACAGCAAAATTTGACCTCAATCAATCAATGGCATTCAATGAGAGATATTCATGCATTGAAAGGTATCGTTTGAATTCGTTGCATTTGCTCAACAAATTTTACTGTTTCAACGATCACCAATACTTATTTGTTTGACTTGTTTGTTTAATTGTGTTTTTTTTTCCTTAAAATTTCAAGTTAAGGCAAGTACAGCAGATTATATTATATAACGATACCTGTACTTATTCAATGGTTTTGCTAGAAAGTTATTTGAGGATAGTGCATAGAGACCAGACTTACTCCTGTCAAGAGCAGGCACAGTCGAGCAAAGTTACTTGAAATGGCAATCTAAATAATAAGCATTTGGCCATATTCTCATTCTTTCATCCATTTATTCAATTTTTTTACTTCTCGGATATCTTAAGGAATAAATTTCTTCTATTTTTTATAATTTCCATCTTCAGTAAAATTAATAAAATAAATATTTCTTCAGATGAACAATTAAAGTATCCATTTTATTATTTTTTAAAAAATTGCCAAAATTTTTCATCGAATCTTTCATTAAATAAATTGTTATAAAATTTTATAAATTGTCTTAATATAATGGTTTAATCGAATATATTCAGTTAAATCCATAATTCATCGTAAAAAAAGAATTGCACTATCTTAAAAATGAATATAATGGTTTAAGTATTTAAATGTGCGATGCAGTTGACCTGTTTTTCAATTTGATGGGTTTTTTTCGTTCGCGGAACTTGCTTTTAGATTTTTAAAAATATTTAAGAAACCGATCGAAACGACAAAAAATTCATTTCAGTGCTATTTCGATGATTTGCATCGAGAGGCTTTCTTAAAAATGAAGGATCACATCAGAATACGTTCATTCACGAATTATTCCACCATATAAAATAATATGAATATAACTGCAGCACAAAAAAAGCATTCATTATTTCTGGTTAGATTCATTCCAATGGCTATTATTAAGATATCAACGCGTGTTTATCAAGGCGTCATAACAAAAGCAGCAACCAGATTGCTATTCAATTGTCCGCTCGGCTACCTTGTTTCCGGTAGCTCCATGGCATAACTTGGATCATTATCATTTCAAGTATCATGGTTCAGCACACCTCTTCTTCCTGTCATTAGTCGAGGAAGCCTGGTTCTGCTTCCAATCACCCCCGGATGAAAATTCCTCATCCTAATAGCTAATGGAGTGAATCTACCTGAAAATGCGCTCTAACTAATTAAACACCGCAACATAATTCTTATTTAAATTTAACATTTTTTCCAGCAAATGTTCGAATTTTGTCATTCACATTTAATCGCGCCGCCAGCTTTTACGGCCACTTAAGAATATTTTTTGTATCAATTGTTGCCACAAAGTTTTAATCAAGTTTTATCTATTGATCTTATCTATGAAGCCTATTTTTCCTTATTCTTGTGCTCTAAATTTCGCCACAAGAACAAAAGTTATTTTGAATTTAAAATTGTTAAAACTTTTGAAAAATTGGCACTTTGCAATTTCAATTTAAAAATTTACTCGTTTAGTCGAAAGTTTTTTAAAATTCCATTTCAATGAGATTTTCTTTGAAACCAGTTTATAATTATTCGTCGACTTCAATTTCCTTCCATATTATCACCATTAATCGGCAAAATTTTTTTTCGCTTCTAAAAGTTTCAATATGAAAATCAACAAGCAAATGACAAAAAATTGGCTGATTTCTATCTAAATGCGAACTGTATGCATGTGAATTTTTCGGTATTTTCGCCTTTTTCGTTCATCTTGAAAATTACCCATTTCAACAAATCGGGGTCATCACAAATGCAATTGTGTTACTATTCTTTGACCCAAAACCCCATTACAATTACGGTTCTGTAATTCCTAGATATATACACGACTGGGTCGTTCGAAACACTCGTTCACATGGGCGGTTCACATTGCATCGGTATACCATCATTATTAACCAATCTTGTTATAAAATTTCCCTTTATTGGCATTTAAACCATACAACTATTGTTGTTTTATCAATTTAAATAAAATGCCATATCATATTCGGCTAAGCTCGGTAATTGCTAGGGGCTTAACCTTTTAGAATCCAGTTTAAAAAAGTAAGATCTTTATGGCCATGTGATTGTTATTTCGACTAAAGTCAGGCCATTATATGTTCAAACCTTGACCATTGATAAGAGTAAATCTGCTATTTAAAATAAGATCCGAATAATGCTAGATATACACTTTCTCAATTTCCATTCTCTGGCGAAGAAGCTCACTGCCAGTAAAGTCAGTAATTCCAGAGATGGTAAGTTATCAGAAGAAAAATCCAATAAATAGAAGAATATAATTTAAGAAAAATAAACATTTTTGAGCAATTAATGCGAATGTATGCATTTATTGAAAATCTGAAGAATATCGCCTAATTTTCAAATGGAATACTCTGATACTTTATTGTATTTTGGACTTAAGGAAAGTTTTTGCAACTTTTTAAATCAGACTTTCGTTTTTCGTTTTTTAAACAGTTTTTATTCGCTTTTCACATTTATACTTCATTTTGAAATTTGTGAAATTTTCTATTTGGTCTTGGATGGTGTAGGCTATACATTAAGTAAATATTCCTGAAAACAATGCCAACTATTCGGTTAAGCCTTTTAGTGCATAACTTAAAATTTTCCAATGGTATATTTTAGAATCTTAAGGAATTGCATTTAAGTTGTAAAAATTTCAGATGCTTTGGAAAAAATTCAATAACAAATTAAATAGTATAAATTTCGTTGGATGAAAGATAAAGTTCATTCTTAATATATGTTTTGCATTTTGGAAAACTTCCCTATACTTCCTTTCATCGAAAAGATCTAATATGGAGAAATTTGATTGTTTGGCGCATTTTAATATACTGTGGGCAAAATAAATCTGGAGAAATCCAGGACTTTAAAGGATTGTGTCATATTAAATATTTACATTTGGGAATAAATAAATAGATAAAAGAAGCCTAAATATGTAACATCCATGTCATTTCGATTTAAAAAATCTTTTAAAAAATGAATAGCATTTAGGTGAATTTGAATTTAGGTTGAAATATGAGTTGTTGTGACGGATTTGTGTTCAAATAATTATTGTTCAATAAAATGGAAAAAAAAAACTTGTTCGGAATGAACATTTTTAAATTTTAGATTGTAACTCGTTTTATTTTTATTCTTTTGAAATTTTTTTTCAGTTACACAACTATAAAACGAATCAACGATCTTCTTTCTTCTCTTTTATTTAAATTTGATTTTATGAGATTTTAAGCAATAAATTTTAAATATAAGTATTCGGTGCCTTGTAGATTACTTCTTTATTCTATTTTATCGAAGTTCTCAACCATCTTTCAAATATGAAGAACTTTTGAATCGACAGGATTTTCCAGTGATAGGTTGATTGCTGTTGCCATTGCTAAGAGTGCACCGCGAGCCGTGATGATCTGAGAAATATACTATATGCTTCGACCTTTCATTGACCTTTTAACCTTCGAGTGATTCAACGAATATTTAAAAATTAATTTAAATGGGTTTAATCTTTTTTTTTTCTTCATTCTTGTTTATACAGAGATCTTAAAACAGTCGAACCGTAATTTTATCTACGAATTGTACCAAGCAAGATGTTCAGATGAAATACTGATTTCCTCTTTTTTCCTCTTTATTTCCTCTTTTGAACGAATCCCTCTTCATATTTCAAAAAAAAGTACAATTTAAGTAGTAAAAAATTTTTTCTATCTATTTTTTTTTGAGAGAAATTAAGTTATTCAAAATGAATTTAACCAAAAGTTTGCCTGAAAATTCCTAAGAAAATCGAATGATTAAATGCGAGTTTATGTTTATAAGAAAGATTACTCAAACTAAGTCGAAATTTATTGCAACAATATAGAAATTTTATAATAAAATTTTGTATGCACACAAGTAAGAATAGTGTTTTTTCCTATCATTTTTGGTTTTCCTGGGAAAAGGCCATTGTTTTAAAGTTGCGCACTTGGAAATCACAAGCACATTAAAACTTATAAGAAGCATTTTCTTAAATAAATTGCAATTTAAATTGAAGTAACTTAAATTGAAGGGGAGGAAGGTAGATGGCTCTGATATCAAAGCACCGATGCTGCTCAGGCTCTACATCCTGCAGTAGTAAATCTTTTTTAACTGAAAATTCGTTGAATCATCCGTATTTCTATCACTAAGCGATTTTCTGCAAAAAATTGCTTGGTCTGACAAAGCCAGCAGACTAACGAGAATGGTTCTCATAAAAAAAGTTTTCATTAAATTATTGCACACTGGACATTTTTGCTTTTTGAATATATATATATATATGTATGTATATAAACTAGCATATTTTTTTGACCACTTTGCTGTTTTAAGGATAAAACATGGTAAAAAGTAATTATCTGACAATAAAATATCCATTATGTGTTGTTTCGCCGAATATAGAAACGATCAAAAACATACCCGAATCCTCTACAGCTTTTATTCGTGACCTTGACGGTAAGTATTTAGTTTGCAGCTGTAGTTTCTTAGTGATAACTATAGATTATAGGGAATGATAAAAATTTCATGGAAATTTGCAAATTTTATTTTATTTTTCGTCCGCAGTGTTGACATATGAAGAAGCGGAAATATTTTTCAAATGAATTTAAAATATTCTTTAAAATAAACAGAAATAAATAAACAGAAATAAAAATATGCAGAAATATTTTTTTTTCGAAAATTTCCCGTGGCTTATGAGATTTAAGGAGTCTGCCACACCATTACAATATTCCTAATATTCGCATCAATTGTTTAAAACTATCCTCGAACTATTAGAAATTAACAACTGTTTCAAGTGTTTTTGCAGTTTTGTTATTTATTTAGACTAAATAATTCCAAACATAAAGCTATTCTAAATATTTTAGAATTTTAAATATTCTTATGATCTATTTCGGCGTAATTTAGCAATTGGTCAGTCGTACCAATTTGAATTTTTTAGTACTAATATACCATTTTATAGAATTTTGTAGCGTTAATTTACCATTGTCATCAATTTCTTTTTGGGCAAACTTTATATGAACAAGTAATTTTAGTAAAAACAAATAATTTAAGGTTGTTAAAAGTTGGATGAGATCATATAACTATATTAAATTAAAAAAGGTTAAATTAAAGGTTGCGTGAATGCCATACTATCAATGGTGAAATATTCTTCAACGCATGCTTACTGTATATTAGCTGAGATCAAAAGGGACATAAAAGATAAATTTATAAGTATCGAGGAGGATACGAAGAATATACCAGGCGCATTCACTATTGCTAAATTTAAGGTTCATTCTTTCTTAAAATTTTATTTATTTATGTCTGCGATGGGCAATACAGAAAAAAAATAATAAAAAATCATATTAATTCATAGGAATAATATAGGTTTTATGAATAATAGGAAACTGAATAATAGGAAAATAATAGGAAACTTTCAGGAAACTGTTGAAGATAAACGATTGCTTCCAATTTATGTTCAAGTTCATCACAATTTCAAATATCAGTTAGCAATGGAACACCTTGTTAATCAACTTTCAACGAGGTCTGAGCTGGGAAATTATATTAATTAACTGAAAACTGATAAATAAGATTTTAGAGATTATTTTCAAAGTATATTGAAATTATTAAGAAAGAACTAATACTTTTAAAATTTTTACTTGAATAACCAAAAATAATTAGCACTCTTGGGAAGAATAACTTGGAGTTAAAAAAGAATATCACAATTGATTTGGCCGCAGAAGATGATTTTAATTTTTGGCGCGATCAAGCTGGATTCATAATCACTGACCGCCAACAGCTTAGTGAACTTACTGTCAAAGTATCCAGTTTCTTATCAGAACTCCAACAATCAAGTGGCAAGTATTCACTTCTAAAATTAAACGGTTTGATAAAGAGATAAAACGAAAAAGCATAATCCCTAATTATCTTCATTTATTGACTCAAACCAATGCTAATCAAATATTTTTTCATATTTTATTATCGAAAAATAATATTTACATAGGTGGAAAATAAATTTCTAATTATAATAGAAATCAATGAAAAATGGGAAAACTTATTGAGTTTATACAAATAAAGTCCTTTAGGTTAAATGGTTGGTTATTCGATGAGATTTTCTTATAGAATACAATTCAACCCATTGTATTTGGTCATCGCCATCACAAATTTTTTTCTCGCTATTTCTTCTAATTTAATTTTTTAACCATTACCTTGCAAATCGAATGACAAAATTAATCAAAATAGACCCTTAATTCCTCTTCTCCAGAAGGTGACTTCCGGAAATATTTCCGAGAAATGATTTTTCGGGTTTTCATAATATATTGAATGATTTCTTGATGAATAGCTTGGGGTCAGTGGTTAGCAATTCTTTTGATTATGATAGTGTGGTTATTACAACTCGGCATTTTTGTCAAGACTCTTGGCTAGAAATACATAATAATACAGAAATAATGGAAGTGGGTCGCCAACATTATTCGAGAGTATCTTAGAACCTTTCACTTCATATCATAATATTAGACACAATTTTACTAACAAATTCTGTCATTTAACGAAAATTTTTGCACATAATATTGTCGTTATTTGTAAACCTTTATCAGTCAGCATAAAAAACCTCTTTCTTATTCCTATGGATGGTATGGATCATCTTTAACCTTCGGTTCTCTACTAGAGGCCTGAAAGAATGAAGGTCTTATCTTAGCTGTTTCTTTTGGACGGAGATTTCTGATCTTGTTCCATATCAGAATTCTTTTGCAGCCATTTTTCTAGCGGTCACTCTCCTGTATTGCGACCTTTCAGCCTTCACCTGCCACATTTTCTTTACTTCCTCTATCATCCATTGGTATTTCTTTAGTTTTTTTTCTTTTTTCTCATATTCCTTCTTCCTGATATATATATGTATATGTATATATATATATATATATAATATATATAACCAAGATGAAAGAAAATTTCACTCGTTGATACAATCAAATTTCATGCCGCAATCACTTCGCTAATTTTAATGCTGGTTTCATCAATTAAAAACTCGTTTTCACTGTTTTTATGCATTATATTATTCTTTTAAACAATTATGGTTTTCGTTCAACAATTCTTTGATGATAAATCTGTTCATTAATTTCTTCACTTAAAAATTTTAAATATCTGTATACTTGAAGAAAATTCATTGAACCATGAAGATTCTTGAAATCGTTTTCGGTTGAGGATTGCAAGCATACTGAATCTTACCGACATAGACAATTATAAAAGAGATATTTCTTCTTCTTCAAACAGCTGTCACCATAACTGGTTAGGCTGACTCCAACGGCTACAAGGGTAAGACGCTTCCAAGCGGCGCGGTCTGATGCCATCGTCGACAGTAATAGAAGCCATTCCTTTTTCCATCGTCTAAGTCCATATATTGCTGGTCCATCCACCTATACGTTAAAAATCTTTTCTCACCGTATCAGTCCAGGTCTTGATTGGCCCACCTCGTTTTTGACCCCAATCATCACAAGGTTTAGCAAATAATGAAATATGCGACAACTCTTGGGGTGGACGACGGAGAATGTGCCCTAACTAGCGAAGGCAGCGCCCTATGATAATATTATTTATGCAAGTGGTATTTGAATGAAAGTGGATGCGATCTTGTGAGATTTTATCCACTCGATGAACCCGTAAAATGTACCTTAAACAAGAATGGTCAAAAGCAGATAACTTCTGAATATCCTGTACTCTCATTGGCAATGTCTCAGAACCATATAGTAAGATCGAACAGATCACGGCAATATAGATGCGGTCTTTCGTTTTTATGGTGATTTCACGACGATTCCATAAAGGTTTCGTCAACCGGAAGAACCCATTTCTAGCTGCCGTAATCCGAGTTACAATATCATCTTTTGCCTGTCCATTTGGTATTAGAGTGGACCTAAGATATTTGAAATCAGGCACTTCCTCAACCGGCAATAAATTTACAAAAAGAGGCATTTTATCAGATTCTTGCACATAAGACGAAAAGGCCTTCGTTTTGTTTATATTAACCCTGAGTCCGATTCTCACTGCAGTTGCTGACACGTTATTTAGCATTGCTTGCATTTCATCATAACTATCAGCAAAAAGGACTACATCATCAGCGTATTCAGATCTGTGATACGATGCTCTGGACTAATTCGGATACCTCTTGAGTGTCGACAAGCAGGTCCATTATCCAGTCTATCGCATAGTTGAATATTGTGGGGGAAAGGACGCAGCTCTGACGGACACCTGTTCTTATTTCGAAGGAATTTGTCAGCTTCCCATATATACAGACCTATGCCGACGTGCGCCTTTATGAGTCTAATGATTTTCTCTGGAACGCCGTCACGTTCCATCACCCTCCAAAGCGCCGCTCTATCAATTGAATCAAAGGCAGCTGGTGAAGTCGATGAAACGCGCGACAGTGGATTGCAAATATTTGAAGCGATGTTGCAACAGCCTTCTTAACGTGAATATCTGGTCAGCACAACCGCGCCCTGGTCTGAAACCATCTTGATTAGGGCGCATCCTATTGTATCATATTTTCATAAGTCTGTTGAGTAGCAGGGAAGTAAAAATTTTTGTTGAGACGTCTAGTAGGCTGATTTATCCTATAACCTTTCTTGAGAATTGGGAGCAGAATTTCTTTGCTCCAATCATTTGGTAATATTTTTTTTTTCTATACTAAAGAGTACATTTGTTGAAGGTGCATTATGAAGGACGATGGACAACATTTGAAAAGCTCAGCCCAAAGACCATCTTCTCCTGGAGTTTTGTTGGCCTTAAGCTTATGGATAACTAAAATTATTTCTTCTTCTGTTGGAGGCTCGCAATTGCAAGCGTATGCTTCGGCAAACGTATCAGCTATATCAGAGATGGTTAAATTTGGCCTTAAAGAATTCTTTCCATTGACCTTATGAGGCGACCTTAATACTTTTGATTAGTACGCC